ATGTGGTCGAAAACGTCTCCTTCACTGCGTTGCAAACATCTGACTGAAGAATACCCTCTGCAAGGATATAATGCAGTGGTGGCCAGCAGAAGCAGCACACATACAATGAAATAACGCATTGCGTTTGTGTGAGAGCATGCACGAATTTGACTGTGTGCCTGACGTTTTTCAGCTTGTCTATCCCGTGGGCCCTGCGCGCTGCCTCTGCTGGTCACCACTGCACTATGGGAAAAGTCTATTTTTTTTGGCATAAACTCTAGTTTTAGAGATACAATTTAGAAATTTTGTATATATACTATTAAGATAAAGCTGTAATTTCGGTTTTTGTTGATTTTTGAATCGGACCATTGTTTTCATCCACCGCCCACGCCGCATATTCAAATTAATTGGCAGGGATTTTAAAAAATTTGTATTTGTATTGGTAAGACGCTAAAATAATTTCAGTTTACGTTAATTTTTAAAATTTGTCAAAAAAAAAATTGGTGACATGTACAAGAAAAGTGAAATATTATCTAAGAGCAGATGCCAATTTCAGCTTTAACGGGGGTCCAGCTTCTTTATATTTGAGCCCTTTGCAGCCAGGATTTTCACTTGACTTGTCCCTTTCCATGAATTCAATTTTTAAGATTAATGAAAGCCACTTAGATTGTTTTTTTATTTAAAAGAATATTTTTTTTATGTTTATAAGTTGCTGGATTTAAGTCATTTTTTTTAAGAAACGTGCAACAAGTTGCAAAAATGATTATTTTTGCGATATAAAGGATACATTTGGTAATAACTTTGCGTTTTTACCTTTTTGCAACTTTGTGCCATTTATAAGTTGTACACCACGGAACACAAACAAACTTGTTAGTTTTAAGCTAAACAGATACACATTTAAAACAGTTCACAGTTGGACAACAAGCCATAATAATCAAAATATGTAATCTAAGATACATTTATTTTTCCTACACGTGATACATTCTTTTTTCGATTTGCATTTAAGTATTTCGCTTTCTATAAAGAGCAACAACTATAAAAAAATAAAAAAAAAAATTTCATGGTGTCGTATAGTTTTGAAACACACCTTATATATTTATTGAACCGAGCATTGGTTTTATTATATGACCCCTCATTCCACGCGTATTTTCAATAGGAACACAACTATTATAATGCGAGGGGGCATTTATCCACCGTCCCCAACAACTCCAAATATCGAAATTTTTACTTTCACCGCTCTCTCTCCCAAGTTAAATAATTTTCTTAAAGTTTTAGTATCTCTCTAAGTTTTTGCGATTACTTTCGATTGGTGTATTTCTCATTCTCATCGGACTATCACAGCAGATTTTCATTTCTTCCTGTATATATAGTAGTCCTGGTGAGCTTTGTCACTACCTGGACTGCCGTCCACAGTGATTTCCCAATACAATAGTTTTTATAATATTTTTTTGATTATTCCTATGGGAGCCATAAGATATAGTGGTCTGATCTGGCTAGTTCCGACATATGTACTACCTGCAATAGAAAGAAGACTTTTGGGAAAGTTTCATCGCGATAGCTTTAAAACTGAGGGACTAGTTTGCATAGAAACGGACAGACGGACAGACGGACAGACTGACAGACGGACAGACGGACATGGCTAGATGGACTCGGCTATTGATGCTGATCAAGAATATATATACTTTATGTGGTCGGAAATGTCTCCTTCACTGCGTTGCAAACATCTGACTGAAATTATAATACGCTCTGCAAGGGTATAAAAATCATATCCTAGAGTATAAGAGAATACAATTAAAACCAACGGAGCTATAATTTGTTTCCAATTAATTTGCCATTAATTTTTCGATCGTTCCTATGGCAGCTACATATATGATATAGTCATCCGATTTTGATAAAATTAAAATTAAAACTCGGAAATATTTAATAAGAGTCATGTCCTAAAGTAGAAAATAATACAATAAAAACCAAAAAAGCTAAAATTTATTTCCTATTACTTTCCTATTAATTTTCCGATCGTTCCTATGGCAGCTATATGATATCAAATAAAAACACCTCTTAACGAGGTAAAAAACTAGTGACGATCGCACCTTCAACATACAAAAGTTCTGATATCAACATTTGTGACGAAAAATTATTACACTCGTCATTAAATACACTTTCTAATATTTTCTCATTCGGCCCGCCCAGCATACTATTTTAGCCTTTTTACCTTCATAGGCATTTTCTATTGCAGCGTGCCGAATGAGAAAATCTTAGAAAGTGTATTTAATGACGAGTGTAATCGTCGGATTTTGACAAATGACCCCTCATTCGACGGGTATTTTCAAAAGGAATACCACTAAAACATTGCAAGGGGGCATTTATCCTCACCGGCCCCAACAGCTCCAAATTTCGAAATTTTCACTTTTTCACTTTCACCGCTCTCTCTCCCAAGCCAATTGATTTTCTTAAAGTCTTGGTATGCAATCCTTTAAGTTTTTGCAATACCTTTCGATTGGTGTATTACTCATTACGATCGGACTATCACAGCAGATTTTCAATTTTGCGGCTATATAATAGTAGTCGCCTTCGCACACTCTTCTGGTGCGCTTCGTCACTACATGGACTGCCGTCCATAGTGATAGTCGTCCGATTTTTTAAATATATTATTCAAATTTCGGAAATATTTAAAAAATAATATTTCCAAGAGTAGAAGGTTTTATTTTAAACAAGAAAGGAAGCTAGCTTCGGCCAGCCGAAGCTTATATACCCTTGCAGATCATTCCTATTAATAAACAAATCGCAAAAATGTTCAATTTTCTAATATTTCTCATTAATTTTCCGATCGTTCCTATGGCAGCTATATGATATAGTCGTCCGATTTTAATTAAATTAAAATTGAAATTCGGAAATATTTAAAAAGAGTCATATCCTAGAGTAGAAGATAATACAATAAAAACCAAAGAAGCTAGAATTTATTTCCTATTACTTTTCCATTAATTTTCCGATCGTTCCTATGGCAGCTATATGATATAGTAGTCCGATTTTTTAAATAATTAATTCGAAATTCAGATATATTTAAAAAATAACATCCCCAAAAGTAGAAGGTAATATTTCAAAAAACACCGAAGCTAGAATTTTTTAAAGTTTTTTTTTCCGATTGTTCCTATGGGAGCTATAAGATATAGTTGTCCGATCCGGTCGGCTCCGACATATATACTACCTGCAATAGAAAGAAGACTTTTGGGAAAGTTTCATCCCGATAGTTTAAAAACTGAGAGACTAGTTTGCGTAGAAACAGACAGACGGACAGACGGACAGACGGACAGACGGACAGACGGACAGACGGACGGACAGACGGACAGACGGACAGACGGACATGGCTAGATCGACTCGTCTTGTGATGCTGATCAAGAATATATATACTTTATGGGGTCGGAAACGTCTCCTTCACTGCGTTGCAAACTTCTGACTGAAATCATAATACCCTCTGCAAGGGTATAAAAACACCGAAGCTAGAATTATTTTAACGTTTCCTTCCTATGGGAGCTATAAGATATAGTTGTCCGATCCGGTCGGTTCCGACTTATATACTACCTGCAATAGAAAGAAGACTTTTGGGAAAGTTTCAAGCCGATAGCTTTAAAACTGAGAGACTAGTTTGCGTAGAAACGGACAGACAGACGGACATGGCTAGATCGACTCGTCTAGTGATGCTGATCAAGAATATATATACTTTATGGGGTCGGAAACGTCTCCTTCACAGCGTTGCAAACTTCTGACTGAAATCATAATACTCTCTGCAAGGGTATGAAAATCGATGAAATATACCATGAATGAAACCTTTGTTTTCCGGTAAGGTACGTCTTCCTGATTAAGAAAATGGTGTAAAGTGTAATGGTTAAAGTGTAAAAAACGTTTTTGACACTTCTTTAATTTTTAACTTGAGTTGTGGTCAACCGATTTCAACCATAAATGATTAATTTTACAGCTAATAGAATGCCCCTTCAACTTTCTTATACACTGCATTGAGTTCCATTCATTAGTTTAGAAGCTACATTTCGTCAAAGTTGAAAAAGTTAAAAAAAATGCAAAAATGCTGGCATAAATGGCTTCGTTAAAAATACACGCCTAAAAACACTGTAAAAAAATTTTAAGTGCCATTTTCTTAATCAGGAAGACGTACCTTACCGGAAAACAAAGTTTTCATTCATGGTATATTTCATCGATTTTTTTTGTAAACTGGTGTAGTAGTCGTCCGAAATTTGAAAAATTTCATAAAAAGTTCTCCAATAGTTTCTAAGGCATTTTAATGATAGTAGTCGTCCGAAATTTAAAAAATTTCATGAAAAATTCTTCAATAGTTTCTACGGCATTTTAATGATAGTAGTCGTCCGAAATTTGAAATTTTTTATTAAAAGTGCTTGTTAGGAAATAATTTTCTATTAATTCTCCAATAGTTTCTACGACATTTTAATGATAGTAGTCGTCCGAAATTTGAAAAATTTCATGAAAAGTGCTTGGGTTATTAAATTTATAGGAAATTAAAAATATAGACGCTATAGTCTGGTGCCCCGACTATGAGATACCCGTTACTCAGCTAAAGGAAGTGCAAAGGAGATGGAAAAAAAAAACTTTGATCCGCCGTAACTTTTTAACGAATGGTCTGATTTAAAAAAAATTTTCCACATATTGATAGGTATTAATAAACACAATAAAACTGCATTTTTACTTTTACGAAATATTGAAATTTTTAAATTCGTGTATAAGCGATTGTGGGCGTTAGAGGGGGCGTGGCACCCTTTTGAAACAAACTTGCGCTGCGTAGGAACTCCTAGAATCTGCATGCAAAATGTCAATCTTCTAGCTTTTGCAAACTTTTGACTGAAATTATAAAGGGTATAAAAAACATTTTTAAGTGTACACATTTTTGTACAGCTTGTTAAAATACTTCCAGAGCTATTTAAAGACCTTTCAGATTTTGAAAAAAAGCATTTCGTCTCAGCATTAATTTACTTTAGCTTTTCAGTGATCTTTCAACGCAGTGTGGACCTTACTGAAACTCTCGCAATGAATCGGTCCAGATTATTTGCTACTTTTATAAGCTTGCTAATATGGTCTACCCAAGTTCAACAATTTTTTGTCAGCGGAACTCGACAACAAGGCAAAACTCAACATTGGCTGCACTCTTTCAGAGCAGAACTAATACCGGGCGACTTTTACAAAGCCCTTGAAAAGTCCGATGGCAGTAAACGCACTCTGCAACATACATTACAACATTTCTTGGAAAGATTACACAAAAATCTGACAATGTCGACGGTGTTAAGTGACTCCGAAAATAACACCACAAGTGCAGATATCTATATTTTTAGAATGCAAGAATTATCGACATTTTTTTATAAAGCTTCTCATACTTTTGAACAATTTTCCACGGATACTGAACATTTCTTTGAAATATCAAAAAATTCAAGTCATACACTATTATTAAGACTACGGCAAGTTCCAACAGCCCAACCTACACGTGTTAAAGTTTTTCTTACAAACTATTTTTCAGAAATGGAATTCTTTCATACGATATTTTCCGAAATAATCGACGAAGCTTTGGAATATTGCATAGAAACTTTAAAAGCGATTAAAAAAATATTTTTTTACTACGCAGATACTCAAAGCTTTTTTTTAGAAAATTGGAAATTAAAGCTGAATTTGGAATGCTGCTCGCTCTATGTTGACTTTTTACAACAGCATTCTGCCCAGATTTTTAAATGTTCTGCTGGGGATAATCTTAACATGGTTTATGATGTTTACTCTGTGACAAAGCTTAACGTCAAGTATATTATGGTACAGCTGGAGTTTCGCATTCAACGACTTTATAATTGTTTTTTTAATACAAATTTTTCCATTCGATGTAAATTTTTGAAAAGCGCGGAGGGAGATTTTAAACATTTACTGAATAAACTCGCCGATTTAGAAATGTATCTGGATGTAAAAACTAAAAAAAACAATTTTTCGGCACTACGCTTACAACGAAAAGCAACATGGTACAAAAATACTTTAAAATCGGCATCGACCCTTGATGATTGTCTCCCAAATGGCTTTCCGCATAGTCAAATGTCAATGGACCTAAAAAAATGCTTTAATTTTTTTTAATTAATTATATGTAATACAGTCTAACTATAATAATAAAAACCACGTATACATTCTTTGTTTTACACATAAAAGAGAATCTTTGGTCGAACGACGTTATTATACCCGTTACTCGTACACACAAAAAAAAACTTGGTAAAATCAACTGTAATAATTGTCAAACAGGCCCCAACCAGCAAAATTGTCAATTCTACTAAGTAAATAGTCATTTCACAACAACAAAAAACACACAATTAGCAAAGACACAAACCCAAAGCAAAAACAAAATACATGTAACTATTTTAATAGTTACGTAACTATCTTTGTTGGTCAATTTTACCAAGCAAATTTTTTTGTGTGTAGAGTGAAAGGATATATTATATTCGTGAAAAGTATGTAACAGGGAGAAGGAAGCTGTAAAATTTCTACCGAAATGAAAGCTGAAAATTTAGCTGAAAGTTTTTTTTTTGCATTCCTCAAGCACAGAACCAATGCACTATGGGTAATTTTACCAATTTTTTTTGGCCAAAACCCATTTTCTAAAAGTCGTTAGAAATTGGTTTTGTCAATCACAATGTATTAGGATAACATCAATGTCAAATGTTACTGTTAATTTATCAACTGTGAAAGCCTGCTAATGCTTCAACGAGATGGCAGCGCTGGTAAATCGTTTATTTTGATTAAAAGTTTAAAATATCAAAAAGAGTGTAATGAAACAACGCAGTGCCCTTTTTGAAATGCAGTTCAATCAGAAAATCATGTAACTTTTTTTTGTGAGCGTTCCGATGTATTTATTGATTGTGGTGTTCCTAAAATCTAAAAACATAAAAACATTAAAATTGATATTGAATTTTTATTTTTAAATGGAGCTACAAAGTGAGTCCAGCCCTTTCCAGCTCTAGAACCTTTTTTATCTTGCAGAGTACTTTGTTCTCTTTAAACTCAGTAAGTATAAAAGTGCACTTTTGCGCAATTTCTCTGAAATAAATGTTTTAAGACCACCATCAGAACATGAATAATTCCCGTATTTTTGTATGGTGAATTCTATTTACGGTGCAATCTTTGCGAAAGCGGTATGCAACTATTTTTGTTATTAAATATTAATTATTTAAAAATTATGTTACATCATTGTTTCACTGAAATAACTTTGTTATAAAGCAGTGGTGGCCAGCAGAGGCAGCGCGCAGGGCCCACGGGATAGGCAATTTCTCTGCCGCTGCTCTGTCAGCGCGCTGCAGCGTTTCGACGCACACATAAGGTTTATAGTAAAGATTATAAAATGAAAGACCGATTTTTAAGGGGATACGACCACAGCCCAAACCGTAAGAGCTAGAGCAGCCAAATCTTTGCACAGCATTCCATTGGGGGCGTAGGCGCCCACTCAGGTCCGACATGTGGCCCCAAACAACTCCGACATCCATATTTTGTCCAAAAATAACATTAGATGTTCTTAAGCTTAACGTCTAAAGTGGGTGGAATTTTGAAATTTGGATTTTGCAGAATTTTAGGTCTTTAAAAGACAATTAAAAATTTCGATATCCCCCATAATTTGGGGGCTACATTTAAAATTAACTTTTCGGTTTGATGAGTTTTGGCTCAATAGTTATTCTATGGTCCAAATGCTTAAGTTTAATTTTTAAAGTTTTTAACATTTTTTAAGTAATTTTAACGAATTTATTGAGATTTTCAAAGTTTTTGCGTTGAATTTTGCCGAGAGAGCGAAACCCAGAGAATGGATGGCAAGAGCGCGACGGCCGAGAGAGCAGCAGGCAAGAAAACTAACGAGGGGGAGGGGTAGTGCTGTGCGGAAGGGGGAGGGGAAAAGGGCAATTTAAGTTAAAATTTGTTTTGAATTTTAAAAACTTAAACTGCTGTTCCGATCAATATGATTTTCGATCAATAGCACTAGTTTACAGCCAAAATGCTCCTCAGCAATTGATGGCAAATTCTGTTAGTGTTGGACCCCTAGATCACGAAAATACCACTCATTTTTTTTTCAATGGTACACACAAAAAAAAACTTGGTAAAATCAACTGTAATAATTATCAAACAGGCCCCAACCAGCAAAATTGTCAATTCTACTAACTAAATAGTCATTTCACAACAACAAAATACACACAATTCGCAAACACAAACCCAAAGCAAAAACAAAATACACGTAACTATTTTAATAGTTACGTAACTATCTTTGTTGGTCAATTTTACCAAGCAAATTTTTTTGTGTGCACAGTTTTTTTTTAAGATTTTTTAAAGTTCAAAATGTTAAATTTCGGATTTTTCAAATTTTTTCTTATATCTCGGCAGATATTCACCCGATTGGGCCAGTTTTCGTTTTATTTTAAAATCAATAGATCAGAGCTTATCTTTGCCATACAGATCAATATGATTGGATAAGTATGGCAGCGCAGAAGCTCGACAAAGATGAAAAATGTGTTTTTTGGCCGACTGTAAGTCGGCTGTATATATCGTAAAAACTCGAAAAGAACTTTGAAAAATCAAAATGGGTTCCAACTTAAAGTTTACATCCTGCCAAATAAAACAAGCCGGGTATGGCCCAAATTAATAAAAATTGGATTTATGGTGGACTTTTAAAGTTAGGATTTTTCCACCTTTTTTGATCGACAGAGTTCAAATTTAAGTTTTATCGTAGGCGGCGATATGTACCTAAAAATGAGTGGTGATGGCAGCCGGGTCATATTTTATTCTTTCTTCTCATAGTTTTTGATATACATAGATACACGACATAAAACAGCTGATCAGAGGGAAAATGATCGGCCATGGCAAACCAGGCATATTTTCTGGAGAGATCCTTTACTTTTGTGCGGAGACGTAATAATGGTAATTACTCTTATTATTATTCCTGGTCTTACATTCATATCTAATTATTATTATTATTTGCAGTGGATTTTGGCCTGCATTTTACTGCCACAGATCCAGATAGAAACCTCATTTCCCCCTTACTTTTTGTTTCACATCCGTGTATTTTGCAACCAGAGATGGAAGAAATGTAAGGGGTGAATGAGGTTTTGTCCCTTCCGCTTGTATGGAGAAACCTCATGAAAATATGTTTTTTTCCAGAGGAATTTTCCCGGTGGGTAATTTTCCCGATGTGATGTTTTGATTTGTACAATACATGTACAATACAATACATCCCTGCAAGCATTTTCTACCGCGGAAGTTACTATTTAGTGACGTCTAGAAGATGAAAACGATCGTCCGCGATATCGCATTCGGATCGCCGAAGTCACCCCCGTCGGGAAGAACTGTTCCACTACGGCGACACTTCCCGAAGTCACTTCTGAGTGACTCCTAGAAGTGTCGCGGAAGTCACTTCCAGAAGTGACTTCGGCGACGCTTCTAGAAGTGCCGCCGTAGTGGAACATTTCTTCCCGACGCGTCGGGGGTGACTTCGGCGATCCGAATGCGATATCGCGGAAGTCACTTCCAGAAGTGACTTAGGCGACACTTCTAGAAGTGCCGCCGTAGTGGAACATTTCTTCCCGACGGGGGTGACTTCGGCGATCCGAATGCGATATCGTGGAAGTCACTTGTAGAAGTGTCGCCGAAGTCACTTCTGGAAGTTACTCAGAAGACACTTGTAGACGATACCTAGAAGACCCTTTCCCAATTGGAAAATATGTTTTTGAGCTCATTCTTCATGTTTATTCTTTCAACACATTTATTGAAATATATTAGTTACAAAAGCATTGCGGCATGTAAGCACGGTCCACAAGCTTGTAGGAAATGGTGTTGTATTATTTTATTAATTTCCAGTTCCGTGTTCCGTCTATGAAAATGCTTAAAACAACAAAAAAATAATTAATATTGTGCCATATAAAAATCGGAGGAGGTATTTACCTTTTATAGTTAAATAAGTGGAGTGTTTGCCCAGAGTTTCACGCCAAGTAATTCCTTTTGCTTTCGCAGGACAGCTTTGTACACGCTTAAATCTCGATTTCTCCAATCACTTTAATTTTTGATGTAAATAAATATTGTATTTTATTTATATTCCACCGGTATGTAATATTTACAAAATAACGGGTTTACTCCGCATTTCATAACAAACACAGAAATTTAGAATAAATCGCACTGATCACAAAGAAATCTCGAAACGAACTGACGCTCGAATTCAAAATACAAAGTGCGTAGGTCAAAGAGAAAAAAGGGTAGTTTTCAGGTATAAAGAGAGAGCCAAGAGCGGACTGTACCCCAAAGACTTCAACAAAATAAAACCAAATTCCTTTCTATCTTCAATTTAACTTCCAGAAGTGAATTGGAAGATGTTTTTTTCCCATTGGTTTTGTTTTTGTAAAATGTGTTTTATCTCCTTTTCATCGCCCAAAAGTGTCTCAGAAGTTACTTCTTCGCGATCGCAAGCCTTTTTAGGTAGTCAAATGTGATCTATCGCCATTCTATCGTCCAGAAGTGCCTCAGAAGTTACTTCTTCGCGATTTGAACCCTTTTTAGGTAGTCAAATGTGATCTATCGCCATTCTATCGTCCAGAAGTGCCTCAGAAGTTACTTCTTCGCGATTTGAACCCTTTTTAGGTAGTCAAATGTGTTTTATCGCCATTCTATCGCCCAGAAGTGCCTCAGAAGTTACTTCTTCGCGATTTGAACCCTTTTTAGGTAGTCAAATGTGATCTATCGCCATTCTATCGTCCAGAAGTGCCTCAGAAGTTACTTCTTCGCGATTTGAACCCTTTTTAGGTAGTCAAATGTGTTTTATCGCCATTCTATCGCCCAGAAGTGCCTCAGAAGTTACTTCCTCGCGATTTGAACCCTTTTTGTTTTTGTAAAATGTGTTCTATCGTCTTTCTATCGCCTAGAAGTGCCTTAGAAGTTACTTCTCCACGATCGTGACCCTTTTTGTTTTTGTAAAATGTGTTCTATCGTATTTTAATCGTCCAGAAGTGACTAAGAAGTGACTTCTTAGCGATAGATGTATATTTTGTTTTTCTAAAATGTGTTCTGTCCTGTTTCCATCTTCCAGAAGTTACTAAGAAGTGACTTCTGGACGACAGGCGATAGAAATATCGCCTGTTTGCTTGCAGGGTTGCTTCCCTGCAGGGTTGCTTCTTAGTCACTTCTTAGTCACTTCTGGACGATTAAAATACGATAGAACACATTTTACAAAAACAAAAAGGGTCACGATCGTGGAGAAGTA